GCATTTGGAGAACGTGAGGATAGGGTTTTGAAGGAGAGCTAAAAGCAGACGTGTGGCAAAGGGAAGGAGGCACCCTACTGCATATTTTTCATAGCTGCATAAATTAGTAGTTTAAATTAATTCTTGGAGACCTGTCGGGCTGATCTCCTTCTTAGAGTTATAATTCCAGTGCCTCCCTTCAGGGAGCCCCCTGTCTGATGACCCAGCATCTGGAGACTTGGGGGTAGTCAGGCTTGATTGGGACACACACTCACACTTTCCCACCTCAAGCCAGTGCAGGGGCCCCCAGGTGCCTGCTCCCAGGTCCTGCTTCTCCGTGGAGTTTTCTTGATGGGTTATGGACGTGTGTACTTCTGAAAAGCTGTGGCAGATCTCACAGCAGCTTCTTTGTTTACACTGTGGTTCCAGAAGTATCTTATCTTTGTTTTTAAGGGATCTTCACTTGGCATTCATTCCTAGAGAGTCAGCTTTCATGGTTTTTTCAGTCCTCAGCCTGGCGGGGTCCAGCCCAGAATCTGTAGAGCAGGGATTCCCAAGGAAAGCTTGGTGAAGGAACCATGGAGCAGAGCCTTTCGTGATGGGGGTGATAGCACTTCTTACAGCCTGCCTTGATGTTTCTGTTAAGAATGTGTTGGGGTGCACAAAATGGGAACTCTCACTAACAGCGGGGTTTATTTTTCTCCTGTTATAAGAAATCCTGGCCCAAATGGTGCCATCACGGGTCCAGCTCCTTCTGTCTTTCTGCTCCCATTCTCAGTTTGTGTCTTCATTCTTGTGTTCACAAAATGGCTGCCATGCCTCAGGATGTCACATCTGTGTTCCTAGCAGGAAGACAAGGGAAGGGCAAAAGGGAAGAGTTACTGCCAGCGTACTATACTATGACCTTTTATTATAAAGAAAACAGGGGAGAAGTGCCTGGGTGGCTCAGTCGGTTAAGGTCCGACTCTTGATTTCTTTCAGTTCAGGTCATGATCGCAGGGTCGTGAGATCAAGCCCCGCATTGGGTTCCACGCTGGACATGGAGCCTGCTTGGGATTCTCTCTCTCCCTCTGCCCCTCCCCCTCACTCTCCCACCCCCACCCCTCGAGCAGTCTCTCTCAAAAAGAAGGGGGGGTGGCGCCTGGGTGGCTCAGGTCATGATCTCCAGGTTCTGGGATCGAGCCCCAATTCGGGCTCCTTGCTCGACAGGGAGCCTGCCTCTCCCCCTGTGTGTGCTCGCTCTGTTTCTCTCTGTTTCTCTCTTTCAAATGAATAAATAAAATCTTTTTTAAAAATAAAAAAAAAAAGACATCGGGGGATTTCCCATAGACCCCTGTGTACATCTTAGTGGCCAAAATTAGACACATGCCCCCTCTAGCTGCAGGGGAGCTTGGGATGTTGAGTGTTTTAGCTGGCACAAACAAAATTGGGGTTCTCTTGGTAAGGAGCAGGGTGGATGGAGTCTAGTGTCATCCACGTGTGTAGGGGTTTGTCTTCTCCATCACACTGCCGACCACCCAAGAGGTAGGGACCATGTCTCATTCATCCTGTCCCCCCGACAGCAACAGGCAGGGAGACTGGCACACAGAAGGGGCTTAGTCAGCAGTTCGGGGGGGCTCTCTGTTTCCTCTTAGGGAGGAGCTACTAATCTGAAGGCAGAAGACCACCCCTTGCTCTCAGGAGCCCCCAGTCAGATGGGGGAGGTGTAGCCCCCTGCCCCACCACTGAGACCACCGACACGCACAGACACACGCACACCCACCCCTCCACTGAAGAATAGAACAGGGGTCCATGCAGCTGCACGCGCAGATGGTGCAGGATGGACCAGTGAGGAATCCGTGGCAAGAGGCTGCCACGTCGCCCCTCTCCAAGGCCATGTGGCAAAAGTGAAGAGAGGCCTGGCAGTGCTGTGGAGGAAAGGCGCGGCATTCCTTCCCGGATCTTCCAGTTGCCAAGTCGCAAAGTCTAGAATTTTGTGTTTGTCCAGACAAGGCTAATGAAGGAGGCAAAGCAGAGCCCAAGGGGGATTAATTTCCAACCAGAAGGCAGAGGCATGGCTTTCCCTGCCAGCTGCAGGGCAGAGGCATGCTCCCCAGGAGGATCCATGACGCCTGCTCAGCAGCAGCTGCTCCCCTGGGGTGGAGGGTCTCACTGGGAGCCACAGTGATGACTTTGCTCAGGTCAGCTGCCCCCCGCCCCTGCCCCCTGGCCCCTAGGAACCCCCCCTCCCCCCCCCCGCACAACAGTCTGAAACCTGCCTGAGTCAGGTGCCAGGTCAAACCCAGTTCTGCCATTTATTGGCCATGTGGCCTCAGCTTCCTCCCCTATAAAATGGGATGATCAAAATACCCACCCACCCACCTCTGTCACCTGAGTGTGGCTAGGATCCAGGATCTAATGACAATGCAAATGGAAACTGCCGAGTTCGCAGTGACAGTCAGCGCCTGGGCTCTCCTGTGAGATTCCTTCTGACCCACTTACGTCTTTAGATGTTGGGTTTTCTGAAAGTGAAGCTCACCGGGAACACAGTCACACCATGTTAGGGTACAGGGCCCAAAACTGGCCCAGCCCTGCCTGCCTCCCACCTGTCCCCAGGGTCATCCCCTGCCTGACAGGAGGACAACACGTGAGCTCTGTCTCCGTGCCCTCCACTGTCCCTGTCCCATGGAGCCGCAGCCCCGCGGCCTGGAGTTCCGGCCCTGCTGAGCTTACCTGCTGCTCCTCCACGCTGCCGTGAGGAGGACATGGGATGTGTCCAGCTGCAGGAGGGGCACGTTGAAAGCTGGAATGTAAAGGGCTGCCCAAGACCCAGGGTCCCCACTGCATGGGCCTCCCCATGGTCCCAGCTGACCTACCTCCACCCTGTTCTACCCAGGTTGCAGGGAGGGGGGGAGGCAAAGGGCAGGAGGATGAAGGAGGTCCCCTTGGGGCCAGAAGGACATCAGCTTCTGTCATACACCAGGCCGGGAGCCCAGGGTCCTCGGTCCTTAGGTCACGCCTGGTGGCTCCGACTCTCCTCTTGGCAGCCTGAGTTTGCAGGGTAGGATGTCCAGGACAAGATGGGGTGACACAGCCATCGCCCGTCCCGTATCACTGCCCTCAGCTCGCCATGGGGCCGGGACCCCATTTGGACACTCACTGTAAGGGCAACATAATGTAGGGTCAGTTGTGTGGGCTTTGGGGTCAGACACGGCTGTGTGACTTCAGGAAAATGACCTAACTACTCTGTGCCTTCTCACACTAAAGGCTTCCTCAGTGTTCTCTCCAGGGAGGGAACAGAGTTCTGGGGCCTCTGGGAAAGGGCAGCGAAGCCCACCCTGCAGCCAGAGTCTGCCCTGAGCTCAGCAGCTCCATTTGCCAAAGAGCCAGTGGAGAGAGGGCACAAGGAGAGAGAGTCTGCAGGGAGCCAGGCAGCTGCTTGCGACTTGTGGCCCTTTGTGTGTGTGTGTGTGTGTGTGTGTGTGCGTGTGCATGTGCATGTGTGACAGAGTGAGAGAGAGAACGCTTTATTAAGATATAATTCACATATCATACAATTCACCCATTTACAATGTACAATTCAGTGGGTTTCAGTATATTCACAGATCATTACATCCACCACCACAGTCAGTATTAGGACATTTTCATCACGTCAGAAGGAAACCCCATGCCCTCCAGCCACCACCCCTCCATCCACACGTCCCCGCCAGCTACCACCCCCAGCCCTCGGCCACCACAAGTCTACTTCCTGTCTCCCCAGACTTCCCTAGTGGACGGTTCATAAAGTCTGCGGAATCACACCATACGTGACTGGCTCCTTTCTTGTAGCATGATGTCATCCATGGTATAGCATAAAGCAGTACTTCTTTTTATTGCCAAATAATGTTCCCTCGTATGGATATACCACGTTGTGTTTTTAATTCATTCATCAGTTGATGGACATTTGGGCGGTTTTTCACCTTTTGGTTTCTGTGACCCATGTTGCTGTACACGTTTGTGTCTGTGTGTTTGTGTGGACGTATGTTTTCATTTCCGTTGGGTGTATGCCTGCAGGGGGATTGCTGGATCACAAGGTAACTTGATACTGAATCACTTGGGGAACTCTCAGGCTCTCTTCCAACATGGCGGCACCATTCCATCCATCCCCAGCGTGTGACATGTCCCAGTTTCCCCACATCTGTGTCAACACTTGAGTCTATCTTATTTATTTTGGCCGTTCTAGTGAGTGTGAAGTGGTATCTCGTTGGGGTTTTGATTTGCATTTCCCCTGTTGATGAATGATGTCAAGCTCCTTTTCGTGTACTCATTGACCATTTCTTGGAGAAATGTCTATTCAGATGGTTTGCCTATTTTTTACTTGGGTTGTCTTTTTATTATTGGGTTGTAAGAGCTCTGTGTCTATTCTACATGTCAGCCCCTTATCAGATAGACAGTTTGCAAGTATTTTCTCCCGTTACCTGAGTTGTCTTTTTACTTCCTTAGTGGTGGCCTTGGAAGCACAGCAGGGTTCCATGTTGATGGAGTGTGATGCATCTGTATTTGTTCCGCTATGCATACTTTTGGTGTCATATCTTGCTGCATGTTTTTAATCAAGTGCTTCTCCTGTGGAGGGAACGAACTAGATGATGGACTGTCGTGCTGGGCTGAGTGGTCCTGGGGCACAGAGTAGACCATGGGGGCTCATTCAGCAGGGAGTCGGGCGCCACCAGCTTCCTGGGCCGTGGATGTGGGTGCTCACCAGGCCTCCAGCTCCCTGTCCCTGGAGACCTCTTCAGCTCAGGGCTTGGAGGGATGCTCAGTCTAGGACTTGCTGCCCTGACTGGATCAATAAAACTGAGAGGTGAGGAGAGGGACTGTTGAGACAGGCGGACCTGCGTTCGAGTCTTGGGAATGCCACTAAGTGACCTGGGCACATGGGAGAGAAACGTCATCTTTCTACACCCCGCTTTCTTATCTCTTAAAAGGATAGAGGCAGGGTCCCAGCATCTGGGACCATCGAACAACTGGGGTCTCGGGCACTAACTCACTCCCCTGCCCCGCAGCCATGAAAGCCGACCGGAAGCGCCTGAAGGGCGAGAAGACCGACCTGGTGAGCCAGATGCAGCAGCTGTATGCCACGCTGGAGAGCCGCGAGGAGCAACTGCGCGACTTCATCCGCAACTACGAGCAACACCGCAAGGTGGGGGCAGGCCCCTCCCTCCCCCTTCCTCTCCCCGCCCCCTGCTCCCGCCCCTCCCCCATCCCAGACACCCACTTCCTCCCCTCCCCCTGCCTCCCTGCCCCCTGCTCCCTCCCCCAGATACCAGCTCCCCCTCCTCCCCTTCCTGCTCCCTCAGCCCTCTTCCTTTCCTCTTCTCCCCTCCCCTGCTCCCTCTCCTCCCCCCCCCCGACGCCAGCTCCCTCCCCCCTTGACCCCCTCTGCAGACACCAGCACCCCTACCTGCCACTGCCTGCAGGATATCTTCTCTGCCATCACGAGGTCTGGCTTCACTAATCCCCAAACACACACTCATTGCCCATGTCACCTGCTCACCTGAGGAGGACTCGGGTTTAGCTATGGAGATGAAATGGGCATAGCCCCTAGCTGGGGGCCCCCATGCCTCCTGGGCAAATAAGCCTGGGCTGGACAGCCCAGTTGGTGACAGTGTAGACAATGGATTCTGGCTGGCCTGGGTTCAGATCCCAGCCCCCAAGGTATGCGTCCTAGGGCATCTCGCCTCACCTTGGAGAGCCTCAGACCTTGGAGAGGTATGAAGAACACTGGATGAGGTGATCTGCGTGGCATCTGGTGTATACTGAGGGCTTGGTAAATATTAGCTATGCGTCTTGTTAATAATACCATAATAACAGTGTGCAGAGAGACCTGGGAGCCCTGGTGAGAGAGCAGGAAATTCTGCCTGCAGGGAAAGAGTCTTGGAAGGCTTTACGGAGGAGGTGACATATGAGTTGGGCTCTGTGGGGTGAGTAGGACTTTAGTCAAACAAATGAGTTATTTCCACTGTTGATGTTTACGGAGCAACCCGAGGCTGACCACAGAGAAGAGGTCCTGGCCGCCCCCACCCGTGAGCCATGGGTGGTTGCTGGGCATTTCAGTGGCACTGTGGCCTTCCTGGGGCTTAATAGCAAACACTTCTGTCTTGCAGTGGGTCATCAAATTTGTTTTTATAATTGGGCTCCTACTTGAAAATAAAATTTCCACGGAGATCCAGCTCCCCCACTGGACCATGCCCTTTTTTTTAAAGTCCAGGTAACTGGGGGGCCCCCCTGCTAAGTCCAACCAGCAGTGGGGGGTAAGGTTGAAGCTGCTGCAGCCGTGGGCAGCCATAGACAGCCACAGCTCAGCATCAGATGTCACTCTTACGGAATGGCTTCATAAGACCCTTCAGATTTGTTTCCAGAAAAATGGAATTTGGAAAACATGAATGTTTTTGTTAAATTACTGTCTTAAGCCTTGTTGTCATGTGGAGCAAGTTGTTCTTATACTTCCAGCCTATCAGTGGAGTAGTAACATTGTGATAGTCTTTAACCCTTCTTGGGTCCAACCCCATTTTACAGATGGGAAGACTGAGGCCATGAAGGGTCCAGGGACAAACCCAAAGCCACATATTTAGAGCTGGTTTGGAGAAGCTAAAACCACAAGTCCTGATTTTATTCGGTCTCTTCCAAGATCTTGCAACTGGTTAAAAAAAAATGACTTGCCTTTTATGCACAAAATAAGTGTCCCTGTGTGAACAGGATGAAGGGAACCCTCAGGTGCCCCCCACCCTCCTTGGCCCTGCCACTTCACCTGGCCCTGCTCAGCCAGTTCCTCCTGGGGACCCCCGCAGGCCTTCCCTGGAGCAGGGAGCAGATCCCAGTTCTCTGAGCTCCTAGGGTCAGCACGGGCGCAGGCTGCTGAGAAATGAGGGGTTCGGGGCCTGCCCAGAAAGTTCACAGAATTGCAACATCCCAGCAAGTTGTGCCTAATGCATGTTCCCTGTCACATGGGTGCCATTCCGAGGTGGATTTGGGACTCTCCATAAATCAGCTGAGGAAGTTCTTGCAGCAAGCCGGGCAGCCAGGCGGGGGGCCAATTGCTGTCACAATAGGCCACCTTCATCCTGCCCTCCTCACCTCCCCAGCCAGGCCTGTGTCCCCCTGCCACCCCCTCCTCACTGCACCCCTCCTACTTCTGTCCAGTGAGCCCCAGGTGCCAGTAGGGGGACCCCACTCCCAGCTTCGCATCTGAGGCCCGGCACAGCGGGCCAAATCCTCCCCTCATAAATCCCGGCCACCCTGACGCACATCTGGGTCCAGCCTCCCTGGCTAGTCTCCTTTCTGTTGCTTTCCTGCCTCAGTTACCAGCAAGGATTGAGACCTCTACCACACTGTCTGAGGGGCTGGGGAACTTATTTCTCTGGCCTCAATGCGCTCATCTGTGAAATGGGGATCACTACAGTCCCCCACCTCACGGGTGGTTGCGAGGTTTAAATATAATTGCCTAAAACGCTGAGGCACCGTACTCAGCATGTGTTCAGAACATTCCGTGTCAGTTGCTGCCGAGCCCACTCTCCTGCCGCCAGGGAATATGATCATGGGAGGGGGCATCAGAGTCTTCACCAAGTCGAAAAGCACCTGTCTACGGGCTTTCCCTCTGGTCTGCTCATGACCAGTGCAGTCAGTGACTGCAAACAGACACAGAGACAAAGATGACCCTGAGGGTCCTAGGGGACCTTCCTCCTAATTCAAAATGTTTTGTAAGCAGCCTCTTGCACACCAGCCGGTTCTAAGGGACGGTCCTTACCCAGTTACTCAGTTCCACACACTTCATCTCCCGGGCCCTTCTGTGATCCAGGCTTGCGGGTGGGCGCTGGGGGCCGATGCCCAGGACATGGCTCAGCCCCCAGGGTAGGAGCTCCCCCTCTGCGTGTGTGCTGGGGGCCCTGCCTGTCCCCTGTTGCCCTGACCCTACCTGAACCCAGCTCCACAGAGAAGGGAGAACTAACCAGCAGTGGCATGCCTCCGTGCACTGAGAGTCTTGCTTCCAGAACCTCAGTACAGCTCCACCTGTGATGGGTGATAGTACCATCCGTCGCTGTGTATCTTGCATGGCCGGTTTTTGCAGAGCATCCCTCACCCTGGGAGGTGGTACTGTCGCCATCTCACAAATGAGGTGGTTGGTCGAGGTTTGGGGAAGTTGAACAACTCAGCCAGCGCCCTGCAGCAAAGACTCAAACCCAGGCGTCCTGAGCCCAAAGAGCAAGGGCCAGCGGCACGTCCTGGAAGGGACCATCCCCCGCACCCCCTCTAGGCTGCACTGAAGCTGGGGCGCGCGGGCTGCTCGCACCAGCCCAGGAGCCGTGGCGCGATGGCCTTCCCGGCCGGCCCCCTGCAGCCGAGTGTGCCTGATCATGTCGCAGCTGTGTCTGTTGCCCGCTGCTGTGTGCGGGCTGTCCCCGCTGGGACCCGGGTCTGTGCCCGCACCCCGAAGCTGCACGTCCCTGCTCTCACACGGCGTGTGCCGGGGGCCTCTGCTCTGAGAGCTCCACGGATGCAGGCATTTCTGTGTGGCTCGTGCCTGCCCACGGCATCCGTGAATACGGGTTCGGTGGCCAACGTCGGGTGGCAGAACGGAGAGCCCAGGGCTGCTCTCAGGCGGGTGGTCCCGGAAGGCTGCTCAGAGAGGACCGCCGAGCAGGCACTGCTGTGTGCCCACGCCGTGCTGAGCTCGCCACGTGGATGGTCTCATTCCATCCTCAAAGTAACACCCTGAAGTCCCTGCGTATTATCTCTGGGTTACAGACAAGGGCGCGGGGGCCCGATAGTCATTGCCGCTTGTCCTTGCAGAGCCAGGATTTGACCCACACTCCCTCTCCCCAGACCATAAGCCGTAGCCTCAGCCCTGTGACAACCGCAGAGAAAAGGCCAGCCCCCGGCCTCCCTGGCTCTGGCCATCTGGCTGTCAGGCCTTTGGCGACAGGGCTGGTAAACACGGCAGGAGGGCCGCCTCCCTCCACGGCCCCAGGCTGCACACAGACCTGGAGCACCGCTCCTGATCCGATCAATGGGAAGACCTTGCTGGGGGTTGGGCAGGGCCCTGCGCTGGGACCCTTCTTCTTGGGAAGGGCGCCTGCTGATCAGACACGTGGCTCTTGCCCACGGAGGTCAGGCCCCCTGATTCAGCTGTCTGTCCCTTGGCTTCGCTCGCTCGGCGCAGCCGGAGCCCCGGGCCCTTCCCTCTGCACCCCAGGGGAAACGGCTCGGGGCGGGGGACCGGCCGGCGACCGTGCTGCCTTCAGTCACAGCCGCTCGCCTGCTTTGGCGTGGGCTGTGACCCCGTGGGGTGCTGCGGGACCCCGGGGCAGCCAGAGCAGCTGCTCAGCCACTGTCTCTTTCTCCGTCTCTCCTTTCCGTGACACACACGTTACCAAACCACCCGGACAAAGCCCCACACCCGCTACTGACCCAGACTTCCCTCGGACTCCACGTATTTCCCACACGGGAGGTCATTTCATCTTTATAACAATTCTTTGAAACAAGTAATATCAACTACCCCCCACCATTTCAGAGATGGAGAAACGGAGACTTGATGGGGTAAAAACACTTCCTCGTCGCATTCATTTGCTCATTGATTCACAGAAACAGTATTTACTGAGCATCTCCTAATGGTTTGTCTCAGTCTGGTCCCCCAGCTAAGCTGTGGCAGAGCCGGGGGCCTCCCCTCACCTTCCTCTGGTCCAGGGCTCAAGGCCCCCCTCTGGCCCTTCCAAGAGGAGGCCCCGCGCCCCCGCAGTAACGGCTTGGTGCTCTTTCCCCGCAGGAGAGCGAGGATGCCGTCAAAGCCCTGGCTAAGGAGAAGGACCTGCTGGAGCGCGAGAAGTGGGAGCTGCGGCGCCAAGCCAAGGAGGCCACGGACCATGCCACGGCGCTGCGCTCCCAGCTGGACCTCAAGGACAACCGGATGAAGGAGCTGGAGGCCGAGCTGGCCATGGTGAGACCCCTCCCCACCTTCACACAGCCAGGGCGTCTGGGCTGCTAGAAGCCATGTGACACGCTGGGGACGGGGTGTGGGGACAGGTTCACTGGGAGTCCCCCGGTGGAGTCACACAGAACGGGCCGGGGAGGGGGTGCGGCTGGGCACGGGGTCTGTGATGCTCTGTCAGCTTCCTTCCACATCAATCCCTGAGCCCAGGCCGCAGCCCCTCATCCACATGCAGGCGCCGGGCGAGTGTGCTGGGAGCCCATCCTCCCTTCCACGCACCCAGGCCACTGTCAACAAACAAAGCCCATTTTTGTTAAAAATACACATATTTGTTTAGGAAAACATTTGGGGGAAAATACACCAAAAAACTAACTGGTTATTTCTGGGTAGGAGGATTGCAAGAAACCTCTAGTGAAAATGTCTTACTTGGGTTGTCAAGGAAAAAAATGTTATTTTTTTTTTTTTCCAATCCAAAACAAACCTTCAAAGTAACTTCCAAACGCTGAGTTTTCCATGGAAGTACCCAGCCCGCATGTGGGGACAGAGAGCCCAGGTGGTGTGTCCGGGCCTGGTGGACAGGGGAGAAGTGCCTGGGTGGCTCAGTCGGTTAAGGTCCGACTCTTGATTTCTTTCAGTTCAGGTCATGATCGCAGGGTCGTGAGATTAAGCCCCGCATTGGGTTCCACGCTGGACATGGAGCCTGCTTGAGATTCTCTCTCTCCCTCTGCCCCTCCCCCTCACTCTCCCACCCCCACTGGTGGAAGGGGTCCCAGGCCCTGGAGTCCTGCTCTGCCTGTTCCGGTGTGACCTCGGGCCACTCACTGAGCTTCTCTGGGCTTCAGTGCCCTTTATCTGGTACTGGAAGGGGGCGGGGTTCTTACCTCACCCTGCCCTCCCAGGAGGTGGCCGGGAAACTCCAGGGAGCCCATGGCTTTAGGGGCCTTTGAAACTACCAGGGGCTCAATGTGACCGTGGCTGGGAGAAGTGTGTGCAGGGTGCTCCTGAGGGGTGGGGGAGCGAGGGGGTCCCACGAAGCTCTTAGAACACAACGGCCTCCTGCAGAGAGCACGGATGCGGGCTAACCATGTGGTGACAGCCACGGGTTCTGGGTTTGAATCCAGCCCCGTTGCTTCCTAGCTGTGTGACCTCGGGCGGGACCCTTCACCTCTCGGGACCTGTTTCGTCAAGTCTACATAGGGCTAACTGCATCTACTCCATAGGGCCTTTCTGAGGATTTCAGTGAAGTAACGTGAGGGAAGCACTTCACGTGGTGCTGTACGTACTGAGGATATCGCGGCACAAACCTTCTCTGGGGTCACTTCCTTCAGGACCATGGGCCACCCTGTGGCGGGTCAGGACCCCTGGACCTCTCCTGGGTCTCCTGTCCAATGCTGACCCCTAGTGGTCAGAACTGCCCGGGCCGGAAGAAGCTGCAGCTGCGAGGTCCCCTCGAAGGGTGGGTGCTTCTCCCACCAGTGAGGTCGGTGGCGCTGGCCGCCTGCAGCCCAGGGCAGAAACCTTCCCAGCTGCAGACCTGGGAAGATGGTGCAGGTCCTCCCAGTGCCCCGCACGTAGATGGCCACATGTGTCTTCCTGGCCGTGGAGCACTGGCCTCAAGCATTCTGGGGATTTCTGGGGTCTTTCAGAATTGGGAACCAGATCTCCTCTCTTTCTCCTCTCACTGTGCCCAGAATGCTCAGCCTGCTTCCGTTCTGGCCAACGGCACTCAGATCCTTGCCCTCTCCTCTGGCGGGCATCACACCCCCTCTGCTAAGTGTGAATAGTTACGGTGAGTATTTGCAGCCTAGGGTACAGGCCTCTTATCCATCAGCGTGGCCGATGTCTGCCTAGGGCTCGGCGGCAGAGGGAGGGCCTTTGCTAAGACGCATGACAGCCCCGGTGTTGTTGGGGTGTTCACCAGACTGGAGGTTCCCTCTGTTGCCCGCCATCCGCAGAATTTCACACCCTGGAGGCTTCCGGAACTGCCTGCTCCAGGCAGCGTTGACAGCTTGTCCCACTGCCATGCTGGCCAGGCCGAGACTAAAGGGAGGGTGCCGTCCCTGGGCGTGTGCCTTATACATGTGCCTTGGGTGTGAGCCACCGAAAGCCGCTCTGGCTGGTTTAGCACATGGGATGTGCTGGAAGGGAAGTCAGGAGCTCACAGGTGCAGCGGGAAGGTGGAGGGCCAGACTTAGATATGATTCGAAGCCAAGGTAGTCACAGAGGTGGGGAAGCCAGGGTTCTACACGGAGTGGTCTGCTCAGCGGCCCCTGTTGGGGAGGATGAACTTGAACCTGCCTCAGAATGGCACCCCAGTTTGTTTTTTTTTTTGTAAGTCCAGCAAAGGTAGCAAAATGGCCCTTCTAGGGTCACTTGTTTACCACTTACCTAGGGGTCCTGGCTTTGGCCACTGGTGATGAGTCATTTCTTAAGTGACACCAAGGTGCCACCAAGGAGATGGGAGCTGAGCTGGCAAATTCACACCCACCCGTGACAGTAAAACCCTGGGAAGCAGTTGGGTGCCTGATGAGCATAAGCGGGCCCTGTCCCAATTTAGGCATCGCCCCTCCTTCCAGCCTCTGTGGGGGAGCTGGGCTCTGGGTCTCCACACACCCTGTGTGGCTCTGAAGGGCCTGCTTCCCTTGAGTAAATGCCAAAGACTTGGGCTTCCCAAGAAAGCAAAGCCCTCTGGGTGTTTGGGGGTGGCAGCACCCACGTTCCCACTCAGCCACCTGCCCTTGTGGGGGGAGGTGTTCCCGATTAACGACTCCTGGCCGCCCCAGGCATTACCGCTCCCGGCATGGTTTCACCTCTGTAACCACACTGGCCTCGGGGGACCACCCTGTGGGGTGTACGTATATATTTTTTAACATGTTCCTTTATTGAGATATAATTCACCTACCATAAAATTCATCCTTTTTAAGATGTACGATTCAGTGGATTTTAGTATGTTCACAGAGCCATGCAACCTTCACCACGGTATAGTTCCAGAACAATTTCACCACCCTAAAAAGAAATTCATACCTATTAGCAGTCACTCCAGTGAGGCCTATATTCCTGTTGTGCCCATTTTAGGGATGTGGAAACAGGCTCGGGGGGCAGGAGCTCACCCAGGGCTGCCCAGCAGGTGGAGTCGGGCAGGCCCTGTGCCCCATGATGTGGCGCCTTCGCTCGCGAGGTCTTTAAAAAAGACATCCGGCTGCTGGTCTGAAGGAGGCACTGCCCCCAGCAGCCATGGCTTGTCTCTCAGGCCCTCCCCACTGGCGTCCACCACACAGAAGGGATGGGAGCCAGGACTGCCAGCCCCCGAGATCACAGGCTTCCCCGAAATGCTAGTCCTGCCGCCCCCCCCACTAAAGCTTGGTTCATCGTGGCCTAGTTTTCTGTCAACCCTGTGTCTCCAAAACAGGAGACGTTTCTTCCATTGACTACACTGTAAATGTGGCTCCTCACCCTCGGCACTGTTGACATTTGGGGTCAGGTAAGTTTGTTGTGGGGCCGGCCGGCGCACTGGAGGATGCCTGACACCTTCCCTGGCTTCTGCCCACTAGGTGCCAGGAACACCTCCCAGTTGGGAAAACCAAAAGTCTCGGGACATTTCCCAGGGTTCCCTGGGGAGGTGGGTAGGGGCAGATTTCGCCCCAGTTGAGAACCAGTCTTCTGTAAAGTTGGATGTTTCTCAAGAAGGGAGCGTGGGACGGCCCCGTCTCAGCATCGGGCTATGCTTAACAGAGTCCCAGTTGGGTCCTGCCATCTTCAGGCTGTGTGACTTCTGACAAGGCACTCAGCCTCTCTGAATCTCAGTTTCCACATGTATGAAGTCAGGACTATAAGACATTCCTCCTGGGGCGGTGGTGAGGTGAGGAGATGCTCAGTGAACGGCAGCTGTTGACCGGTGTTCTGCACCTAGCCCCATCCTGTCCTCGGCCCCACCAGGATGAGGAGGTGTGGATTCTCGTGTCCCTTCCACTGGCCAGTCACTGTGCGACCTCAAGTCACTTTTAGCCTGCCTGGGCCTCCGTTTCCTTGTCTGTAAAAATGGCAGCCGCCACAGGCCCAGGCGAGAGTCAGGTGTGGTGAGGGCGGGTGAGAGGCAGGGTCAAGCAGCAGGGGGATGACGGGGGCGGCCGAGCTCTGGGTTGGCGCTCTTTCTGCCCTCGCGCTGCGGAAACCCGCCTGCCACAAGCAGCACCTCCTGGCCCTGGACCAGACCTGCTCACAGACCTGCTCATGTTTTCCTGGAGGTTCCTATACCAGGATCCTCCCAGCCTTTGGCCAGCGGAGACGTCCCCTGGACAAGCAGGAATGCCTTGAAAAGCTAGTGAAGGATTCCGCTGAGCCACACTCCCAGCATCCATCGGGGGCCCAGGCTCACTGTCCAATGCAGACTACTTCATGGCTGCCCATCAGCAGGCCTTCCAGGCAGTCAGGGAGGGAGGCCCAGGGCAGGGTCCAGCCTGTCTCCTGGATCTTCTCACCCTGTGTGTGTGTGTGGAGGGGCGGGGGGCATCAATGACCCCACCAACCCCCGCAGCTGCGACTTACTGAACGTGCAGTAGGGCAGCCGGCGTCCTGGGCTTTCGTGGGACCTAGTCCACGTCTTACAGATGTTCCGTGATAAGTCACTAACCTTTATTGAGTATTTTCCCATAGGCCAGGGCTCTCCATAGCAACCATGTGATCCCCCTCAGACAGATGAGGGCATGGTGGCGCCGAGGGCTGAGGGACCTCACTCAGGATCCCCCCCACTGGGAAGGGGTGCAGCCGGGCTCAAATCCCGGCAGTCCGATTTCTGAGCCCAAACTCCAAAGCACTTTGCTGGGCCACTTTGTCACACAACTCTGGGTGGTGCTACTTAAACAGAAAGGATCCCTCTCCGTTACCCATCCTACTCGTGAGGACCTTGCTCAAGGTCACACAGCAAGTTAAATAGCAGAAGTGGAGTTTGAACCCAGTTCTGTCTGATTTCCGTCACGTGAGGGGGTTTGAGCCAATGTCCCACTATCCATTAGCTCAGAACTCCAGGCGCAGAGCACTCGGGAGAGGGGAGAGGCTCAGACAGAAGAGGGAGCCAGCGTTCAAGGGATGCTCCCAGCATTAAAGCACATTCAGCGGAAGAGGTCAGCCAAAGAACGCGGTGTAGACTGCTACAGGAAGATGACCCGTTGCAGTGCTGGGCGTGCATGCACACGCACATGCCTCTATTTTAAGTTGACTCTACACACTTCTCCTGTAGGTCTCGTCTCTGTTGTAGCTCTGTCATGAGTGGACCATTTGTAAGAGTCCCTGTGCTTTAGAACTCAGAGGTACCACCACCCCATCCTGCAGTACTCGCCGTAGGGGACCCCCCAGCTGTCAAGTAGCAATGATGTCAAGCTGCCTGGTGAGCTAGAAGGTGCCTCTCCCAGGCCCAGACAGAGCTGAGGCCCCACCTGGGAGAAGAAAGCCAGGTGGGGACAGAAGAGCGATCCCTAAGGCTTCCCGCATAGGTACCTGGGAACGTGTGCAAGAGGGCAGAGCTGAGGGCTCATTCGCATGATGGCAGACAGACCTGGGGCTCATTTCTCAACCCTGAGTCTGTCTTCCAGGCAGCCAAGATGGATTGGGCAGGAGGAAGCAAGGGAGTAGGGCAGCTTAGTGCATGGAGTGGTAGCCGGATGGAGGGCCAGGAGGTCAGATGCACATGGTGCGGTACCCTGGTGGCCAGGAAATGGGAGTCTCCCATGTTGCTGGGTTGCTGCAAGCCTATAACAACCCTACGACACCCCCAGCCTAGCAGGATTGTTCCCTTGCTTTGGGGGTAAGTTAACAGAGCAGATTCCCTGAGCTGTCAGCCTGGACATAGCAGAGCCTGCTTCCGTTAATTCTGAGGATTTTTATTGATCGCTGCATGTGCCCAGCTCCAAGCCAGGGCCTGTGGATTTCGTGGTGACCAGGCACACCCCAGTCTCTGCTTCATGGATTCAGAGTCTGCATTACTTGGGCTGGTGATTTCGTTGCCCCAGAGGAGTGTCGGTGCTGTAGAAACCACGGGGCTCATGGCCAGACTCCCAGGCTTGGGACCCCCTTGAATGTTGTGCTTGCTGTGCATTCTTGAAGAAGTCACTTCTCTAAGCTTCGGATTCCTCCTCCGTCAAGCACAGATAATCTTCCACTCCCTACTTGAGACCCAGGGCTGTTGCACTGAGCACATGATGGTTTTTCTAAACTGGAAGGGAGATTATTACCTGGCTTGGGGGATGGGACTGATACCTTCCAACTCAGCCTCCTCCTGCCATGGAGGGGGAGTCATTTCATAGACTTGGGGTGTCCAAGCTAGAGGGAACCCTAAAGATTGCTTGCTCTGGGGTTTTCATTTTACAGGTGGGGAAGCTGAGGCTCAGGAAGGCAGTGACTTTTCCTCCACTGTGATTCAAATCCCAGCTGGTCCTTGGAGAACCAGAAAGAATGGGTGATAAGTGTGTCCTTGGACAACCCCCCTTTCTCTTGTAACCCTGGTCTCACTTTGTGTTAGCAGGAACTAAGGGGTAACCCCAAAGTGAGTGCAATGCGATGCAGAGCCAGAGATCACCTGGTACCAAGGTCGGACTCCCGGCTCTCTCACCATGGTGGGTCCTGGCCAAGCAACAGGCCAAGAGGTCACCTCGATCACATTGTCTTTTTCTGTCTCCCGGCCCTCTCTCCAGGCCAAGCAGTCCTTAGCTACGCTGACCAAGGACGTCCCCAAGCGGCATTCACTTGCCATGCCGGGGGAGACGGTGCTCAACGGCAACCAGGAGTGGGTGGTGCAGGCCGACCTCCCGCTGACCGCGGCCATCCGGCAGAGCCAGCAGACTCTGTACCACTCACACACACCCCACCCTGCAGACCGGCAAGGTGAGTCCTGCCCCCAGCCTGGCCCCGCCCTGGCTGCGGGGGCTTCTTAGGAGCCGCTGACCTCCCCAGTGGGGGGAAGCAGCCCCTCTCTTCCCACTGTGGCTGCTTAGGGGGCTTGTGGGGCAGAGACCACAGGCTTGTGTAACTGAGAAGTCCCAGAGATGGACTTCAGGCACAGCTGTATCTCGCGGGCCGGACAGTATCGGGGTGTGTCCACCTCTCTGTCTCGGCCCCGCCTGCCTCCCTTTGGCCTCCTCTTTAGGCCGTCTCTTTCCACAAAGCAGCAAAACGGTCTCCAGCAAGTTCAGGCTTTTAAGGTCTTAAAGCGCAGAAGTCGGGAGAAAGAAAAACTGGCTCTTTCTCTGTTTAGAGTAAATGCCAAAGAAGGACTCTGATTGGCTAGGCTGGGTCACATGCCCACCCCTGGGCCAATGACTGTGTCTAGGGAGTGCTGCACGGATTCTCCAGCCAGGGTCTCGGGATCCTTGGCGGGGGGCGGGGGGACAGCAGAGCGCCTCGATTAACAGCGCCACGCGGTCACGGGATGTGTGGGAGGGCCACGGAACACGGGTTCGCTCCCGGCACTGGCGGGGGGCGCGGTGCAGCCTCCGGGCAGCTTCCGCACCCACTGGCCGTGCCACACGTGAGTGGCTGCCTTTGTGTGCCACGTGCAGGTGCTGCCCCCACCTAGCTGGGAACCCCAGTCCCTGACTGCAGAGCCCATTCATTGCCCATCCCTCTCCCGCGCCCTACCCCCCCCGCCCACTGCGGCGTTCAACCCTATGGCCGATTACTACAGCCCCACCTGCTCACATGCTGCCTGCCTACAGTAGGTCCCGAGGCAGCCTTGCTGAGCATTAAGTGCTTCCTCCAGCCGGCACCTGCAGCCAGGAGGGCAATCTGGTGGGGGGCCTGGGGGGCTTTCCAGGACTGTGCCTTCTGAGCTCAGCCATCCATTCCACCACTACGGATGGAGCACGTGCTCCATGCCGGGCACCGTGAGCTCTAGAGGTCACCATGGATAAGACAGCCAGCGTGCCTACCCTCATGGAGCAGACATTGGAGACGGGAAGACAGACAACCCGGTGTAACTGGGCTGACAAACAGAATGGTGATAGACGGTAGTTAGCACAGGGAGGGAAATCAACAGAGGACAGTCTTTGGTGGGGAAAAGTGTGGGGAGAGCTGATAACCGGGGGAGGCCTCTCTCAGGACAGGCTGAGAGGTCTGGATAATGAGAATGTACCTGATGAGCAGCAGGACCCGCAAAGGCCGGGAGGAGATGGCGGCGCACGTCGGGCACTGTCAGAAAGCTGGAGTGACCATGAGCCGAGGCTGGTAGGATGACCAAATGCCTGGCTTTGCTGCAGTGTGAGGAATGGAGTCAGGGAGGCCTGCTGGGAGGCTGCATGGTCTTCCAGGCAAGAGACAGCAGTGGCTTTGGCTCGGGTAGTGGTAGTGGGGTTGGAGACAAGTGGACAGATTTGGGGGTAGTGTTGGGGTTGGAGAGAAGTGGATGGACTTGGGGTTGTGTTTGGGGTTGGAGAGAAGTGGATGGATTTGGGGATTGTGTTTGGGGTTAGAAGTGGACAGATTTGGGGGTAGTGTTGGGGTTGGAGAGAAGTGGATGGACTTGGGGTTGTGTTTGGGGTTGGAGAGAAGTGGATGGATTTGGGGATTGTGTTTGGGGTTAGAAGTGGACAGATTTGGGGGTAGTGTTGTGGATGGACTTGGGGTTGTGTTTGGGGTTGGAGAGAAGTGGATGGATTTGGGGATTGTGTTTGGGGTTGGAGAGAAGTGGATGGATTTGGGGATTGTGTTTGGGGTTAGAAGTGGACAGATTTGGGGGTAGTGTTGGGGTTGGAGAGAAGTGGATGGACTTGGGGTTGTGTTTGGGGTTGGAGAGAAGTGGATGGATTTGGGGATTGTGTTTGGGGTTAGAAGTGGACAGATTTGGGGGTAGTGTTGTGGATGGACTTGGGGTTGTGTTTGGGGTTGGAGAGAAGTGGATGGATTTGGAGGGTTGCGCTGAGGATGACTGGGTGGGGGGTGTGAGGGAAAGAGGAGATCTGGCCGTGGCCTCCAGGCTTCTCACTAAGGAAGTTGGTGTTGACTGGCAGTTAGGATTGTTCCGGATCCAGGGAACGTCCAGGTGGTAGGAGCCTTGTGAGGACAGTCACCAAGGTCCCTGGAAACTCCTGCCTCTTCTCCTTTGCTGTGGTTAGGAGAGGGCCTAATTGGATCCAGAGGCCAGGGGCAGTCCTTCCCAGCAGCTGCTCTCTGGAGACGTGTGGGTCTGTGGAACGGAGGGGCAGAGGGCTAGGCAGTCCCTTCTCTGTGTCTCAGCATTCTCATCTGGATAATGGGGGCGTAGGGTGGCCTGGCTGCAGGTCAGCGCAGGCGGGGACGTTCTTGCCACCCCTCACTTACCAGCTGTTCCTGCTTTCCAGCGGTCAGGGTGAGCCCCTGCCACTCCCGGCAGCCCTCTGTCATCTCCGACGCATCTGCCGCCGAAGGAGACCGGTCGTCCACGCCCAGCGACATCAACTCCCCTCGACACCGGACACACTCCCTCTGCAACGTAAGGCCAGCAGCAGCAGGGCCGGGGCCAGGGGCCCCTCCTGGAAACCGCAGGGCGGCGGGGTGGAGGGGTGAAGACCTACCCGCTGTTTCCTCTCGTCCACCCAGGGAGCACTCTGGCGAAGGCATTTCCTGGTCTGTTCTTTTTGCAAGAAGAGATGGATGTGGGGCGAGAAAGAAAGGAGGCCTGTTTGCTCCTTGTGTCCGGGAGGGCAAGAAAAACCCAGAGGAAGGCAGGCCTGGGTCGGCTCAGGGTCTGCGCAGCTCGGGACTACCTCTGGCGGGGTCCCTGCGTCTGGGACCGTGGGCTTCTCCTCCCAGCTGTGACCTTCCAGAGCCCAGGGCCTTACCAGTACTTCATTTCCCCATAGACCCAGCTCTCAGTCCTTCTTCCAGGAGTGAGCCAGATTTTTTTTTTTTTTCATTTTCCAGGAGTTTGGGTAAATATTTCCTCTAGAGAGGCGTCCCGTGAATTTGTTCTGTTTTTTCGCTTTGCTTATTTAATCAAAGGCATGTGGGCGCATGCCTTTTTTGATGGCATGCTGGGCGCCAGCTACCAAGAGGTGCAGGTCCCTAGCCACCTAACTCTTGGTGACTGGCGGAGCCGCCAGTCGGGCTCCCAAGGAGTGAGGGCACGAAGGTGGGTCAAGCGCCTGAGGACAGGAGGACGCCGTGTTGAGGCTCCAACAAGAAACACCGGGGAGCGGGCTGTGGAGGCCACTGTATGGTTTTGTTCTGTCCCACAGCTGATAATATGGAGGGTTCCCCTGCCATGAAGACCGAGACACCATGGAGTTAGGTCTTCGATTGCATGAGAAAGCTTTCTCAAAAACGCAGCTAATGTTGTATTAACCAGCACGATTGATAATGTAAAAGAAATGAGGTGAATATAGTGGGAAAGAAAGACAAAATAACTCTTACGTGCCGATGATATGATTATCTACCTGGAAACTCAAGAGAATAACCTGTAAAACTATTAGAACCAATAATGACCAAGGACATGAACGGTACTGGTTGAAAATCAGTGTATAATAATCAGTAACTTTTCTATATGTGAATAACCATAAGGGAAACATTTTTTCCCATCTACAATAACCATGAAAAGTAGCTAAAGACTACTAATAAAAGTAGTAAAGACTGAACTTAAAATTAGTTGCCTTCGCCTGATGACGTGGGCAACAGGGATCACTGGCCCAGGGCCTTATCCCACCCAGTCGGGATGCGGAGAAGGCCGCTCCAGGCCTGAAACCCACTCAAGGCTGGGATTCTTTTTCAACTTCCTTAAAGCAGTTTGTTCTTCACCAGTGCTCAGGACAGAACCCCTGTGACAGAGGCTGTCTTGAATGACAGAACCAGGGCGAGGAAGGGGGCCACTGGAGGGCCTCTGACAGCTGTCCTCTGGTTCTCAGGGCCCACTGTTGAGCTGAATCTACAGCCAACAATGTCCTCCTTGTTAGAGAGCACGGGCTAGAGACCTAGGGGAGCCACGCACACCCCAAATGAGAAGACCTTCCCAGGGGCCAGATTTTCTCTTCTCATGGTGGGCCCGAGGGGGCTCGGAGAGCCAAAATACTGCTGGAAAGTCCATTCTGCAGAAAGGTTCTCTAAAGGCCTCTTGAATTGCATTTGGCCTAGCCTCTTGCCGGACTTGGCCTTGACACATTTCAGCTGCTACAGGTGGCAGGTACAGCCTGTTTATTTCCAAGATCACCTTACACAGGGCCCTGCTGCCACGACCTGGGTGCTTTCATAAGCCTGTTGTCTGAAGACAGCCATTCCACTGGGCCCTGGCCTCATTCTCTTCCCCATGAATTTGGCAAAGATGGCCCTGCCCAGAGTAGACCTGTCTTAGCTGCCTGCCAGATGGGTTCTGTTTGCAAACCTTGGGATGGGACTAAAGACTAAACTACCATTTGTTCCATCCTTGCCCTCCCTCAGCCACCTTCATCCCCCATTTCAACAGATGGGCACACAGGTAAGCCAAGAAGAGCCTGGAAAAAGCAGAAGGTAACCCTCTGTTCTCAGGCCTTTGACCTGGCACAGCAGGTCAGAACAGCCCAGCCTGGACTAAGGACCTGTCCATCTTATTCTCTGGCCACTAATTTAGAGCAGAGGTCGGGACTAAGTGTAGGGAAGTTGGAGAAGATGGATGGACTTGGGCCCAAGTGACATACTTTGTTTTTTCCATGGCTTTTTTGCCTGCAATTCTGGAAACAACCATCAGGGGCCTCCCTTGTAATGACTTGTGATCCCAATGATCTGTTTGCACCCCCAGGCAGTGCACCCAGATTCTAGGACATAGTGAAGGCTTTTGCACACCCACCTTTGCATGCCCACCGAAAGGAGCACTGGACCGGGAAGAAACAGTCCCAAATTGGAGTTGTAGCTCTACTGATTATTAGTTCCATCACACTGGATTGCCTGGAGCCTCTCTGTATCTGTAAATCAGGCCCATGAGGCCTGCCTACCCCTCCACAAAATAAGAGATGCATTGAATTGTTTGTGGGGGAAATTAGAAGCTACCTAGTCTCCCGAGTCTTCCTGTCCTGAAATTCTTTATTTTTGTGCTTTTTTTCTTTAAAATTATATTTCTTTATGAGCAACACCAAGTATAACCAATCTCCAGTTCCAACTTGATGGACCACTTGGGACAGGATCTTAGAAGTCTTCAAGTGACTGATTTGTTGGTCAGAGGGTGTTGGGGGTCAAGAGGTCTGAGCAGGCAGGAGAGCACCCCAGGACCTCTGGTCCAGGCAGCATCTCAAACCCCAGGTGCCATTGTTGAGCCATCTGGGAGTGTTTGCTTCAGGGGCGGGGGTGGGTTCCCCAGTACAGAGGTAAGGTGGTTCCTAAGAGATGGCTTCCTTCCATGGAAGACCCCACTCTCCATGGGCCACCTCTGCTCCCATGTGTTGTGTGTCCCTGCTGTTTCATTTCCCCCCTCTCTTTTGGCTACAGGGCGACAGTCCCGGCCCAGTACAGAAGAACCTGCACAACCCCATTGTACAGGTAGGTGTCCTTCCCTGGCCACTTGGGCCCTCCCATCATCCCATTGTAACTATGACTCCCCCTGCCCCTTGTTCCCCTGGGCTCTCAGCATCCCCACTTCCATACTTGGGACACCCAAGGCAGAGAGGAGTTTAGCCACTCCCTCAGTCAGTCATGGTTTGGTGCCTGAGCCAGGCTCAGTACCTGGTTTGCCCTTCCCTGTCGTCTTTCCAATCTGTGGACCTATTAAGTGCATCACACATCTTCCATCCTACTGCCCTGGTGAGTATCTTCTGGCAGCCAAAGGCTGATGACCCAGGCCATAGGCTCTTTGGGCCCCTTGCTGCAGGAAACTGTTCTTTATTCATTTTTAACATTTCAGTACCCTGTCATCAGAGTGAGGAGGGACCACAGGGAGGAAAACAGGAATTGAGAGTCAGAAGCGGGTCTCTGAGATCAGCGGTCTAGTCCTGGGGTTCCCAGATGCTGGTCTAGGCACTGCTCATCTGCATCAGGGTCCACCAGGAAAGACCTTTCAAATGCAGATTCCTGGGCCTTTAACCCTGATTCTGACCCACCAGGTATGGGGTGGGGCCTGGAATTCGGGTAATTCTGATGTGTTTTGGGAACAATTAGTCTGACCTCCACCTTTTGGATGGAGAACACTACCCCGTGTCTTTGATTGTAAAGCCCCCCTGTAGACACCACCCTCAGGCCCTCAGTTACCTAGACAGGAGCCTATTCCCATCCTCACTGTTGTCTCCTCAGAGAGGCCGGAGGAGCTCCAAGAGTCCAGGGGTAGTGACATAATTAGGCCTAGAACCCAGGCCCTAGCCGCCCCCCCCTCCCCCGCTCTACCGTGACCAGTCCTGCCTCTTATCCAGGGCCTTCAGGTCTGGGGTCCTTGCTCTTGGATGGCACAAAGCTCAGGGTTCTCCTTCCTCATTTTCCGGGCTCCCCTGGGGTCCCCTTTTTCCCACAGGGGCTTTTCCACAGGAAATTTGTACCCTTGCTGCAGGGTCCCCGCAGACAAGGGACCGAGCCAGAGCCCGGTGCGCAGAGGCGCTCCTGCGGGCCCTCGGGAAGCACCCCAGGGTTGTGGGCAAGCCGAATTTAAGGGACAGTGGCAAGTACAGCAGCAGCAGCTGGGGGTTACTGCAGGGTTATGATGCGCAGGCACTGCTGTGAGCGTGGTCGACCCCGCTGACACCCTCACGACTGCCTAGCATGGGTCCCACTGTTGTCCGGGAGAGCTTCCACAACGGGCCCAAGTCGGCTCCGCGAACGAGGGGGGGCGGGGGGGGAGGCAGACCCTGGCCTCTTACGCACCGGTGGCCCCGCTCCGTCACCCACCGGCTGTCCCTGTCCCTTCCACCGTCCCGCGTCCCCTCCACCGTCCCGCGTCCCCTGCACCCAGCTCAGGTGGCTTTGTTCTTCTCCCTCCACCCCCGCCGCCCGGCCCGACTCCTCAGTCACTAGAGGATCTTGAAGACCAAAAACGGAAAAAGAAGAAAGAGAAGATGGGATTCGGCTCCATCTCGCGCGTCTTCGCCAGAGGGAAGCAGCGGAAGTCCCTCGACCCCGGCCTCTTTGATGGTACCGCCCCTGATTATTACATAGAGGAGGACGCGGACTGGTGATACCCGCCTCCCTTCGCCTGCCGCGCGCAGGCGTGTCTGTGCGTGTGGACGTGCGTGCGAGCGCGGGGCGGGGGGTGCGGGCGCGCGGCGGGGCGTGCGTGGCGGGGCGTGTGTGCGCGCGCGCGCGCGCGAGCTCCCGCGCACGTGGGTGCTGGGCGTGGCCGAGCGCGGGCCCCGCCCCCTGCGGCGCCGCCTCTGTAATTGATGTACATACTCCAACCGTGTGTGACTCTGTCAACTCTCTGTCGTCCTCAGAGCGATACAGTTGTGTTGTTAATCTGGGTTTGTTTCTGTTTTTGTTTCTTTTCCGTGTCTTTTTTTTTTTTCTTTTTGTTCGGTTCGTTGGGGTTTTTCTTCCCACCTCCCCCTTTCCCCTCTCCTCCTCCTTTTTATGAAACTTGAAAACTTGAAGGACTGCTGTGTATTTGTAAATAACAAAACTATTGTGCACTCCGTGCTTGTAAATGTCCCTTGTCCAAACTGCTACTTCTGGAGCCCGTCTGCCCAAGGATGTGGTCTGTTTTTGATGTTCCCCCCCTCCCCGCCGCCCCGCTGCCCACGTGGTCAGGGTAAGGTCCGCTCCCCGCCAAGACCCGCGAGCCCGGCCAGGACGGGCCTTGCCTTGGCTCGGGCGTGCCAGAGGTCAAACGGGCTCTTTTTAACGGCCTGCCAGTTTTTAAAGTGCGTTGCCATTTCTTTCTTTATGGGAAAAAAGAAAATTGTTCCGTTTAACTTATTTGCACAAACGCAGAAGACTTGCTCTATCTAAATTATTACATAAATATTGGATGTATATTTTTCCATGGGGTGGGCGGGAGGCGGGTGTTTCTGTTGACTTGTCTTTATCATGCTGCTGCCAAACTGTGCAAGGTAGACTTTAGGGGTGGCCAGAACCCAGGGACCATTGGATTTCAAAGCTTGCTTTTTTCCGTTCTTCCCTCTCTCTCTCTCTCCCCCCCATTTTTCCGCCCCTGCATGGAAGTGCACTCCACCTTTCTCTCCCCCCTCCCCATAGCTCCTCTCCAGGCCTTTATGTATCTATTTATTTATCTTAAATAAGGAACACTGACCTCAGTGAGCGGAGGGTCACCTTCTCTTGGGTCTGTCTTTTGAGGGAGGTTGAGCACAGAGTGAGACAGCCAATCACATGACCACAGGGACCCTCGGCCTGAGTCGGTGCCATGAGGGTCCTCGAGAGGCATAGGTTCTTCCTGCAGCCGTGTCTGTCTCATCCTTGGTTATTCTGCATGTCGGCCAGGCAGGTGTCACTGGGGGAGGTGCCCATCTCAAGGGAAGGGCTGTTGGGGACACAGTGTCCAGCACCAGAGCCTCTCTGCCCTCCCCATTCTGGTTGGTTCCTCCAGTCACACTTAACAGAATCTCTCAGGATCCCTCGGGCCCTGTCCTCCCCCTTGTCACAACAGCCTGAGCCTGCTCACCCTAGGAGTGACAGGCTGGCAGGAACATCTGTCTGCCTATTTGGGGAGCAGTGTGGGCCCCAGTGAGGCTTCACCAGCAAAGGAACCGTGTGCATTGTAACGCCGGGTGATGGAGATCACGTGAGCTTCTAAGCCAGAGCCTCCTAAGGCCTAAAACTAGCTTTCCCTTTTCTTTTGACCTGTGAATTCCGCCCCTCCCCCACTCCACCTTAACTACTAACACAGCTCAGTTCACCCACCCTCTGCACAATAGTAGTTGCGCTTTCTGCTAACAGTAACGTTTTTCAGCTCTTAATAAGAAAGGAGATTTGAAAGTGCTGGAGCGTCTCTATCAGAAGGATAGGGTATTTTGTCCGAAGTCTCTAAAACAAACAAAAAAACACCAGTAGGCTGTTCCCTTTCCTTCTGACTTGGTGGGGTGGTTGGGCAGGAGAAGGCAGGGTACCCTGCCTAATAAGGATCTTTCTGGCCTCCTTGGGCTAAGCTGTTCAACCGAGCCTGGCGGTGAGGGAGAGCGGCCAGACCTGGCATCTTTCTCTACGGAGAGAGATTTTAGAAAATACTTTTCTCCCCCATGAATTTTTTTTTTCTTTTGGTTTTTATTGTTTGCCCTTTACTTATGACAAAATAAGATTGCAACCACTCCTGGTAATGATTTAGTAGTTCCTTTTCATTTCAGTTTTTGTAAATTAGGAGATAAATCTAAGAGTTACTAAGGATGATTTATTTAAGAGAACTACGTCAAATAGCGAATGAGTAATGGGTAAATTAGATGAAAATAACTTTTCCCATGGGAAAGGTTTCTCGAAGGCATGGATGCAAATATAAAATATAAAAAAAAACTAAATAAAGCTTATTTTAAAATATTATTGAATTCTATGTTATTTGATTGCTTCTATCTTGCTCCGGGTGGGAGGCAAAGCCCGTGCATGACCTGCTCTTTGGAATTCCAGGGCTGGGTCCGGAGGGGCTGAGAAAGCTGGCTGAATTCTGGGCCCATGGCGGGGCTGAGGCCAGGGTGGCCTCCCAGAAACCTCTCATCTTGGCCGCCCCGACTGTAATTTGGAGGAGCTGTCCACATCCAGGGCTGCCTGTGGTCCTAATGCACCACCTCCGAGCCTGGCTCCCTGGCCCTGCGTTGTCCAGCTCAGCAGCCCCAGTCAGCTTTCATCTGCTTCCCTCTCCCCACCGGCACTCCTTCCAAAGGCCCAGAAAGTGCGCCTGTGAGTTTGGGGCATGTTACTTCCTGCAGACCTCACTGGGCCTCTGCATCGTCCCAACATCCCACCTTCCCTGGGGACAGAGAGGAGCTTAAGAAAGAAATCGAGGGAGCCACAGGGCTTTCCTGATAAAGTTTGTGTGGGCCAGGCTTTTTCGAGTCCCATGAGATCCCCCGGATGCAAAGCCTGGGCCTCCCTCCAGTGAAACTCCACTTGTGACCCAAGAAGAGGTCACCCTGCCTACCCCAAACCCTGATCGTGGCCAGCACCCTCCACCTCTGCCTCCCAACTTAAAGACAAATCCTCTCCGGCAATAAAACTGATGGAAGACTGGCCTTTAAACCCCCCCATCGTTTCTGCTGGAAGAAAGCTCAAAACTCCGTGACCTATATAGACCGTGCCAAGGAGTTGTAGAGCTCAGGACTGCAAGGAAACTTAGGGACATCTACTCCTACAGTTCTCAACCCAGCCACATGTTAGAATCACCTGCAGAGCTTTTGAAAACAGTTACCAAGGCCAGGCTATAGCCCTGAATCAGAGCGTAGTTAAACCTTCTCTGGTAACTCTAAGGTGTAGCCAGCATTGAGAACTACGGGGCTAATCTGAGGCTGGCAAATGGCCCAAGCACACATACCACTGCTTTCCTATACCTGGCCTCATGCAGACATCACCAATCGATTGAAGAGGCCTCCCTACCCAGCCCAAAGTGGCCTCTGATGTCTTCACTTTACAAAGCCTCAGACAGCCACTGCCAATCCGTCAGAGTTGGTATACAAGGAGAAAGCCCATTTGCCAACCTGAAACTAGCCCAACCACCCCACCCCCACTGGACAGATGGAGAACACTTTGGTCCAGAGCCCAGTGACTTGGCCAAGATCCTAACTGTTGCTCCTACAGTCCTGTAACCTTTTCAAGGACTGGGCCATACCTATTCAAATCTTCATAGCTCTACTCAAAAATCATACTACCTCCTTTATCTTCTTTGAGACCTTGCCCCAGATGGCCCAACTTCAAGTGGTACCTATTAGAAATTGAAGTAGGGATGCCCAGGGGCCCGTGTACAGACCCACAGGTTGTGCACTACACTACTCCAGAAGGCACTACTGTGTAAATGGTGCCCTGAGTTGTACAGTGCACAACCTGCACGGCTGTACTCAGTGGGCCTTCTGCGTGCTCTCCCACCCGTGCTGGCAGGCTCCAACAGATGTAACCTAGTAACATAATAACAATAATAATATCTAACATTTATTAAGCACTTACCAGGGGCCACAGTCCGTGCTGAGCACTTTACATGCATTAACTCAGTTAACCCTCCAACAACCTGTATTTTTGGTGAGAAAACTCAGGTTAAGTAAATCATCCAGGGTCAAGAAGCTAGTAAACAGTAGAGCTGGACTTCAAACCTAGGGAGCCCGTAGTGCCCTGACCACCATCTGGGCAGTGAGGGGGTGGCCCCGGGCAGGGGACATCATGGAAGCCTCAGCAGGGCCAGGTTTACGCCTCAGCCACCCTTAGCCTCTGGCACAGCCTAGCACTTCCTTGCTGGTGTGACTGCATCTATTCCATCAATTCTGTCAGTCTTTTATCTGCTGGCCCAGGAAACCCACCCCCAGGGAAGACTGGGGAGGGCAGAGTAGAAACGAGCTGCTGGCCTGCACTAGCCGTTTGGGGCACAGAGGTTTGCCTCTTCTTGCCCTGCTGTGGGGCCCCTCCCTGCACCAGAGCTGCTGGGTTCTCGGGGTCAGCTCTGCCCCCGACAGGAAGTGGGGGTCCCGTCCAGGGACCCGGGAGCCGCCCCACGCCAGTGCCCGGTGGGGACTCACGGTGCGGTGGGGCTGTAACATAGGAGGTCACCAGCCAGCTCACCAACTTGCGTTGTAAAATATCCGCGGGGCCTCTCACCCAAAAACCTGCATTTTCGCAGAACCGGCCTCACAAACACACCCCCCCGTCCCCCACCCAGCCCATCTGCTCTGAACAAATGGCTCTTAAGTTTTTTCAGTTCAAACCCCACTAGGTGGGGCCAAAGCTGCCATCGTCCCCCACCTCCCACCTGTTCCCATTTTCGAGTGGAAAAAGAACTAAAAGAACTTGGTGGTCATAAAGAATCAAGAGGGAATACATGTCATTAACCTTATCTTATAAGAGGATTCGTAATTTTATATTCTAAAAGAATGCCCTATAAACATAAAATAACTTAGGAGTTTGGTCTTGGCTGTGTGTTAGAATAGCAAGTACATCACCAGTGAGGGGTCACTCTCCAGTAAGTCTTGCTGGCAGCGAGGGTATGAGAAGTT